CACCTACTGAAATGATTATTCTTTGCCCCACTGAGTTGTCTTGGCATTCTTATCAGAGATCAAACAAATCTGAAGGTTTATTTATGGACTCTCAAATCTATTTCATCCATCTGTAGGTCTATCTTTATGCCAGTATCACACTTGATTACTTGATTACCATAGATTTGCCATAAGTTTAAAAATTGGGCTATGTAAGTCCTCCAAACTTGTTCTTTTTCAAGATTGTTTTGGCTATTCTGGGTCCCTTGAAATCCCATACTTTTAGGATCAACTCTGCAAAGAAGTCAGCAGGACTTTTTTTTTCTTTTAAGTAGGCTCCACACCCAATGTGGAGCCCAATGCAGGGCTTGAACTCACAACCCTGAGATCAAGACCTGAGCTGAGATCAAGAGTCTGATGTTTATCCAACTGAGCCACCCAGGTGCCCTGAAAAGCCAGTGAAAAGCATTTTTAAAAAAGATTTTATTTATTTATTTGAGAGAGAGAGTGAACGAGTGAGAGCATGAGTAGGGGTGTAGGGGTTGGGGAGAGGGAGAAGCAGACTCCTCACTGAGCAGGAAGCCCAACTCGGGACTCGATCCCAGGACCCTGGGATCATGACCTGAGCCAAAGGCAGACACTTAACCAACTGAGCCGCCCAGGCACCCTTGAAAGGGATCTTTTAAAGTATAAATTGCAAGGGCAAAGAGAACGGGAGAAGAAAGTAGAGTAAGGAGGGGTAAATGATTTGACCAAGCAGTAGAAGCTGTGGTCTGATGCCTGCAGAAAGGAACCAATAATGGGACATGAGAAGTTCAGGAAGGCACTGGGTTTGGAAACATAGGGTACCAAGGAATGTGGAGTGAAGTGCAGAGTGGAGATGGGGGATGAGCTAGAAGTCTATTTGCAGAGAAGTCCAACACTCCAGGAGTCCCCACACATCCCCTCAAAGCCTGGTGACAGCTTCTCCTCAAGGCAAGAGATCAGAGATCTGCTCTTTTCTAGAGCAGTGCTCTTAAATCGTGGTTCATGACCTGGTTTAGGCCCACAAACTTTGTTACTGGCCCTAATAAGATAAGTACAGAAAGTAAGAATAAGTGTTTAGAATTTTTATAGAAATTTGAAATTGCCTCAACATTCAAGTGAGTTCTCAGTGGATTCTTCTTGCTGAACAGGATATAGACCAGTTTGGATGTTTGAACTCCTATTGGGAGTCATGTGTGATAGGAGATATGGACTAGCCATGTGCGTTAGAACTGCATGTGGGTCCCTGACAGATCGGAAATTTTAAAAACTGGTCCTTCACCACAGACAGCTTGAGAAGCATGCTCTGGAGGCTGACAGACTCCATGGTATGTATAGTTAGGAGGCGGTTGAGGGTCCTGGTTAAAAGGCTTCATTTTCAACGATAGGCTATCCAGCCTTCCTCCCACACTCATTCAAGAAAATTGGCCGGTAGGCTTATATCCTCCCCCAACATCTCTCCCCAGACAGGAGTCTAGAAGATTCTTATCAGAAAAGACTTAATGGCCCAGAGAGACTTTTAAATGCTGACACTTAGAAGTCCCTTCAGGTAAAAAACTGCTTGACACCCCATCTCAATATCTCTACAGTAAAGCTCTTCTTTTTTTTTTAATTTAATTTAATTTTATTATGTTATGTTAGTCACCATACTACAGTAAAGCTCTTCAATGGATAAGCTATACCCATGCACCTAAAGCTTAAAATAAACTTCTAAAAGGTTTATTTTGTTTTTCAAATAGGCTTTATACTAATATGGTTCAGAATTCAAAAGATTCAAAAGGGTACAATGAAGAGTCTTCTGTCAGTTACTTCTTCGTTTCCTTCTGGTAAACTGTTTAGTGCCTTTAATATAAATAGAAAGTCTACATGAAAGACAGAAAACAAATTAAAGAAATAAGAAGTGCAGAGAAAAGAATGTAGAGAGGGCACCTGGGTGGCTCAGTCAGTTAAGCAACTGCCTTCAGCTCAGGTCATGATCCTGGAGTCCCTGGATCGAATACCACATCAGGCTCCCTGCTTGGCGGGGAGTCTGCTTCTCCCTCTGACCCTCCCCCCTCTCTCATGTGCTCTCTCTCATTCTCTCTCTCTCAAATAAATAAATAAAATCTTAAAAAAAAAAAGAAAAGAAAAGAATGTAGAGAGAAGAAAGTTCAAAAAAAGGAAAAGAATCATGCCCTGGAGACAGAAGAGAGGCTGTTACACCTGTGAAAGAAACGTGGCCTATTAGAAAAAGAAATATTCAGGGGCGCCTGGGTGGCTCAGTTGGTTAAGCGACTGCCTTCGGCTCAGGTCATGATCCTGGAGTCCCGGGATCGAGTCCCGCATCGGGCTCCCTGCTCGGCGGGGAGTCTGCTTCTCCCTCTCCCGCTCCCCCCTCTTGTGCTCTTTCTCTCTCTCACTCTCTCTCTCTCAAATAAATAAATAAAATCTTTAAAAAAAAAAAGAAAAAGGAATATTCACTGAACAACAAAAGAGAACTCTGAGAATTTAAAAATATAAATATTTAAAATTCAACTAGAAAAGTTAGAAAAAGTAGTTTAGAAAATCTTCCAGAAAGTAAAACAGAGAGATAAAGAGATGGGAAATTAGATACAGAAGCTAGGAAGATCAAAGGATCAGGTCAGAAGATCCAACATCTTGATAACAGGAGCTCCAGATGGACTGAACAAAAAAAAAAAAAAAAAGAGAGAGAGAGGAAGAAATAATTAAAGAAATAATCAAAGGAATTTTTTTTTTTCCCCACAACAGAAGGATATAAGTTTCCAGGTCAAAAGGACCCATCAAATGCCCAGTATAATGAATGAAGAAGGAACCATCCCAAGGCACAGCATTGTGAACTTCCAGAACACTGGAGGTCAGAGAGAAGAATCTAAAAACCTTCAGAAGTGAGATAGAAAGGACAGAGGTTTGATGTGGTATTGGATATTACAACAGCCACTCTGGAAGTTAGAATTCTATACATGGGGAAACTATCAATCCAGTGTAAAGACATTTTCAGTTATGTTAGTAAGTAACATTTTACTTTCTTTGCTCACTTTCCCAGGAAGTTCCTGGAAGATATGCACCACCAAACCAAGGTAGTAAATCAAGGAACCAGAAGACGTAGGGTCCACAGGACTGTGGGTAAAGTTGCCTTGGCCCTAAACAGGATGGAGGGGATAGGAAAGAAGGAAGGGATGGAGGGAGAATGAAGCAATGAAGTGTGTGCAAGGATTCCTTTGATACTCAAGGAGTTAGAACCAGCAGCATCAATATCTCATGGGAGCTTGTTAGAAATGCAGAATCTCAGGCTGTCTCCCAGACCTACTCAACAGAATCGCATTATAACAAGATTCTCTCCGCACATTAAAGTCTGAGAAGCACTGTCCTAATATATCTACCTCACAAAGTTGAGTACTGGGCATATTGGGAGGTAATATGTAGAATTATGAGAATATTCTACTGGGCATATTAAAGGTAATATGTAGAAATACCTGACCATGTAGTAGGCACTCTGTAAGGTATTGAATGTGAAGAAGAAGAAGAAGAGGGAGGAGGAGGAGGGGGAGGAGAGGCAGAAGAAGAAGAAGGAACTAGAAACACTCAGGAATGACAATCTCAGTCCCTGGGTCCATGGTAAATGGTGGTTCTGAACCAAATTACAAAAACAGGCCCACAACAGAAAAGGCAAAAGTACGTTTCTACCAGGAAACAGTTTTCAGCTCTGATCAGGGAACCTGTCAGGTTAGTCAGTCCAGGTGTTGACATGGGAAATCAGTAAGAAAAGCCACCTCTCAGGTGTGGTAATTGGCTGGGAGTGAGTGACAGACACTCATCATCTGGGTGACGTTTGGCAGGGGAAATGCTGAGCTAACGTTGCCTTTCTCAGCAGGGCAAGCGTTCTGCTCCAGCACTCAGGAAGTAGGTCAGGAGGAAATATCCTAAGTGAGCAGCGCTGAATTGCTTTTTCAGGCAGAAATCTGTGGCTCATAGACTGGGGGTGGATGGGAAATGGGAATGACAGGAGGTTGGGGGGCCCACTGCGGGGGTAAGGGTAGGAAATTGCATCCCATTCTTGGCAGGAGCAAGACTGCCTCTCACATAGTTTTCCTGGCTCCAGTCCTTTGGCGTTCAGCCACCTTCTCTGTGCTGGGGAGGCGGGGGGGGGTGTTCCAGTGACTTTTTAATGCTGAGCAAATCTCAATGAAGCCTGGGATTGGAAAGATTTGAAGGGAAGGAGATGTGCTTGTAGAAAACCTGTGTCCTAACTCAGCCATCAGTGTGCTGTGGCTAGAGCACGATGACCCCAGATCCACACGTCCCCAAGAGTTCTTACTGATCATTGCTTCCTAACTGCCCACCAACTGAATGGCACCGAACTCAGTCCTTGAGAGTCCTTACCGCAGAAGCACCGCAGCCCTCAAAGAAATTACGCAATAGGGTGTCCAGTCCTTTAGAACATCTATGGGAATCTTACCCTACTCAGAAATAGCACACTCCACCGCCATCAGACGGCTGTCTTTGTGAAGGCTGAGGGTAGGCGCCGCCCTTGCAGGCACCATCTCAGTGACAAAAGCCTAACATTGCCGGTGAGAAGCGGCAATAACGCGCTTACGATGTGCCAGGCACTTTTCCAAGCACTCTATTTTAATTCATTTGATCCTCACCACAACCTTGCGAGCTTAAATACAATGTCAGTCCCCATTGTACAGATGAGAAAGCTGAGGCAGAAAGAGAGTAAATGAGGTCACGCAGTCAATGGCAGAATTGGGATTCAAACCCAAGGCCGTCCAGCTCCAGGGCCCCTTGTTCGTTAACCACGCGTCGGACTTAGACCACGGGCGCAGGTGCCTGCATCAGCTCTCCTGCGAGCTGAGCCCTCCTCCCCCTTAAACAAGCCATCTGATGTTAGCCAGACAACTCAGAGCAACACGGTGAGGGGCAAGAGCAGAGCTGTCAGAGGTCAAACATCTGGATTCTACTCCTGAAGCTGCCATTTCAAAAGGAAGGACACTTACGTTGACTGAATGCTCAACACAGGTCAGGTACTGGGCGCTTTCCATGTTTGATCTCCCCGTGTCGCTGTCCCTCCTTGGGTTTCGGTTTCCTTACACGTCGGGTGGAACAGGTGACTTCAGTGATTGGTCTAGACAATACTCACTCGAGATGTACTAGGTGCACAAAGCGCTATGCCCGGTGCTGAAGGGCACAGACAAATGAAGTAGAGACCTTATCTTTGCAAGGCTCACGGGCCAATTGTCTTTCATTTTAGAATTCCTTTGGAGTTGAGCAAGGCCATCATTAACCCTGTTTTTTTTTAAATGGGGGAAATGATATTTGAACACTCAGTTCAGTTGTAGCCAAACAGAGTGTGACCGCAGGGTGACTCTTAGCTCGGGGCCCTCTCTGCTCCCGACCCTCCCACTTCATCCTGACATCACTGCGACTAAAAGCTACAAAGTCCACTTTGAGTTCCTCACTTCCCCCAGTCATTTTGTACCTCCGTCCTGCCTTCCCCATCCTGACAAGCGCAGACACACGTGCGTGCGCGCGCGCCCCCACACACAAGGCTGGACCCCCGAAAGACGCAAGGTCAATGCTATGGAGTAGCTGACCATCAGCCCCCTCTGGCAGCCCTCGTTTCTCGTGCAGAGCCCAAAGCGCAGAGCTGAGAGGGTGAGTGCACAGTCAGCAAAGCCGCCGCTACCATATGCATCATGACTCATGAGCCCATCCGCTGACTCGGAACTGAAGCCTCTTGCCCCATCAAGTAATTACGGTGCGCAGGAAGTCCTCAGCTAAAGATAAGGTCAGTCTGGTGGCTGAGAGGAAGGGGCCAGGGAGCGCAAGCTTCTGTTAAACACACTTCCCCTGCCCTGGGCTCTCCTGCGGCAGCCAGCACAGTGCCCTGCAAGCAGTAGGTGCCCAGTGCAGCGTTACTGGTGGATTAGCTCTTCTGAACTGCTCGGCCCAGCACAGCTGCAGGATGGGGTTGCTAGGCAGGAGCATAATATGTGGGTCTAGTGCCTAAAGGAAATGATTTCAACTCCCTCTTGGTTAACACAGCTGAGCTATGACCAGGAGAACCGCAGCCCTGAAGATGTGTTCTTTAAAGAACTCCATGTTATACAATTCACTTCCGCAATCTGTCCCAAGAACTTCCGTTTCTATCCCCTAAGTTAGGATAGAGGAAGAGGCACATCATCTTCATGCTTTCTCCAAGTGGCGTAAGAGTGCAAAGGGCTTTAGACATCGCTTGGTCTAAACTCGTCCTGTTGCATCCTCCTCGCCATTCCCGTGTCCATGCTTCCATGCCTGCCATATCTCTTCCCGGGCAAGAACCTCCTCCCCAGGCCAGAGTCAGGAGGGACAAAAACTTCCGTGAACTTCCAGGAACCAAGGCCACTACTGCTTGTTGTAGGAGGTCATCCCCCAATATATATTTGACCTTCTTACAGAGTGGTAGGATTTTTGACCAGACACATGAACACCTAGCTAAAGCCAACCTTCCGCAATCTCTCTTACGGTATGTCCACGTGATCAAGTCCTAGCTAACAGGAATTTTCAAGAGGGGCATCAGGGTGGCTCAGTTGGCTAAGCGTCTGACTCTTGATTTCAGCTCAGGTCATGATCTCAGGGTCATGAGATGGAGCCCCGAGTTGGGCTCTGCGCTCAGCGAGGAGTTTGCTTGAAATTCTCTCTCCCTCTCCCTCTGCCCCCCACCCAATAAATAAATAAATAAAATCTTAAAAAAAGAAGTGAGCAGGAACAATCATGAACTTAAAAGGAAGGCCAGTCCAGTTGGACTGGACATTACAGTGAGCCATCCTCAACAATGTGCATAAGACAAATACCCTAAGAGCATAGTAACAAGTTAGAAGAAGCCTGGGTTTCTAACATTGGGGAGCCACCATATTATCCCTGCAGTGTTTGCTCTCAGACTGTTACCCACAGGAGAGAAATAAACTTCCATCTTGTCTAAGCCCTTATTATATTGGGTCTTGACAGGGCTGCCAAACTTGTATCCTGACTAACACAACAAACACCCTTTGGGGTACAAGGGCAGTCACAACCTCCCCTTCTCTGAAATTCCCCCACTCTACTCAGCCAGGAGCAGCCTAGTGAGTTCTATTTATGAGAGCTTATCATGGTGATCTATGAATGCCTGGCTCATCTGGCTGTTGGCTGAGGGGACCAAGCATAGGCATCCCATCCAAGCAGGGCCCATCAGATTCTGTCTCCCATAAAATTGCAAATGAGATTCACTATTGCTATCCATCCACTGATGATGACATGAACTAAGACACACAAGGAGAAGCAGAAATGAACGGTCAGTCATCCTTGGAAAAGCAGAGTGAAAGAAGTTGCCGAGGTTGGAGTACTGGCTTCCTAGTTTCTGGTTCCAGGCCTTTGTATGGCCTCCCTGATCATTTTCCCCATGGTTCCTAGGAAAGACTCTGACATCTTATAATAAATTCTCCCTTTTGGTCTTAGATACTTTAGGTTCATTTCTGTTACCTCTAACCAAAAGTGTCTAAGCGTCTTCGGATCCTTATAAAGACCTGTGTATCCTTGCAAGCCAGGGAGCCCACGCTTCTGCGGCCCACTCCATGGCATACTGGATCCTTCAATCATTATAATAGATGGATCTGAGGTGAAATAAATGGATGGATAGATCGATTGCCTGGTTGATAGGTTAGCAGGTCAATCCATGGACTTGCCAAGGGACTCTAAGCAGGCCTCGTGGAATCACAGAGTTAGGAGTGAAGGGGGCCAAAAGCATCAAGCAAAGTGTGGCTATGGAAGTTTAATGGCAGGGCCTGGACTGGAACCCTGCCGGGCCCTGAACCCCACAGGCTTACTCCACCTCCCCTGCCATCAGGCTGATTGATCTGGGGGGTGCTCTGACACACCAGAAATAGCTCCTGCGTGCTGTGAGCAAACTCCCTAGGACAGCTGTGTCAGACCTGCCCTTTCTGTGGCTCCTAAGGAAAAATGCAAAATGATACTCTTCTCTTTTTTCTGGGTCATTCTTTCTAATTCTAAATCTCACTGTGGATTTTAAAGAATAAACATCTTCTCTTCCATGGAAGGAGTAACGGGTGTACGCCTACCGTGTACCAGGGACTTGTGCATGGCACGTTATTGCTATTGCATTTAAACCCTCTAAGAAGCTGTTTTCCAGGAGAGGGAAGTGAAGTTGAGAAGGAATAATCAACTTGCCCAAGACACACAGCTGGTAGGAATGGTACTAGGGAAGGAACCCTGGCTGGTCTGGCTCGAAACCCTGTGTCTTTGACACGATGTCGCACTGCCTCCTGAAGTTCCATCTTTAGCAGTCCTTTTGGCCTTTACTTTCCAGCTTTCTCCATGGGCACCTGCTCAGCAGGGCTTGATTTAGGTCAGTGGGTGTGGGGCCATGAGCCCCAGGCCCTAGTGGGGGAGGGGCGGCGTGCCGGGTGAGAACTGTGGGGCCATGGGAGGCTCAGCAGATGGCACTCCTCTCACAGGGTGGCCTCTCATTTCCCCTCTGGGGCCTGTCATCCCTCACTGCTGGCCTCCATCTCTTTCCCACTTGCCTCAGGCTTGTGTTTCCCTTCTCCATCCCTAGGCAGTCTTTAGTGCCTGGGCACTGAGACGACCCCAGCCTCCCCTCTTACCCTCCACAAAGGGAGGTCTTGGGTACTCCTGTGTGCTCCCTTCTTCAGAGAATTCATCTAGCCAGCTCATTCTTTTTCTCCTCAGAGAAGGAAACAAAGGCCTCACACCTTCGGGTTCAGCCTGCCTGCTTTTCAAGCTGTGTTTGCACCCAGAGCCGAGTCTCTAGCTCAGGCTCCCAGAGGCCTGAGGGCAGGACTGTGTCTTCACACGCCGGGTGGCATACACTGTCAGCATTGTGAGCACCCTCTAGAAAACAAACAGCTGTCGTGCAAAGATGAGGAAGCTGCCAGGCCTGGGGAGGCTGCGGAAGACGTACGTAAGCCTGACATGTCGACCTCCTCCATTGAGCACACAAACTCATGTCCCTGACAGCGTCCACAGAGGCCCCGCCGGGACTCCAGAAAGATTCCGCACTTCCATGGTCTCTCTGAGGAATCAAGGGTGAATTCAACATGTGAATGTGTACAAGGGTGCGTGCAGGGAAACCTCTGGTTCGTTGGGGATTGTAGAAACAATAATCTATAGTTACCTCTCACTTCCGGTAAATGACTGATTCTCAAAGGAAAAGTGCAGGCCCCACTAGGAAGTTTCATCAAATCTCAGGGACCAGAGTAATCAATGGGAACATTTTACATTTATCCAAAGGAGCATGATTTTTTAAAAGGACAGACTCCGCCCATACAAAGGACATACTGCTTCCCATTCTTTTCTCTGCTTGAAGAAATTCTACTTACTCTTTAAAGCCCTGGGAAGCCTTCCTCAGCCCCATAGGCTAAATTGATCGCTCTTTTTCAGTTCTCCCAAAGCATTTGGTTCATCCCACTGGTACAGTGTGTACCATGGGCTATTACCGAGGGCTATGTGAGACACTGTCACCCCAGGGGTGCGTGCTCCCCTGCGAGCACGGGAAATGCACCTCACATGACTTCCTGTACCCATTTCAGGGTCGACTGACAGGCAAGAGAAGATCCTGTTAACTGGCAGAGAGGTGGTGCTGGTGTAGGAAACATGTGGGAAGAAAGGACGGAAGAGAAAAGTGAGGAATATTCTCTGAGAGATAGGGTCTACGTTACAGGGGATTTTTATCTACTCTGAAGGGCTTCAGAGAGGAGGACTTTTAATGGGCTAAAGGTCAATTGGTTAGAAAGAACTAGTGAGAATTTGTTGGGGGCAGAGGAAGGTCCTGGGAGGGTAAAGGACTGGTTCAAGGAAGTTTCTTTCCTTTTTTTTTTTTTTTTTAAGATTTTATTTATTTATTTGAAGGAGGTGGAGAGAGAGAGAGCCCAAGCAGGGGGGAGGAGCAGAGGGAGAGGGAGAAGCAGGCTCCTCGCTGAGCAGGGAGCCCAATGCGGGGCTCAGTCCCAGGACCCTGGGCAGACACTAAACCGACTGAGCCATGCAGGTACCCCTGGAAATTTCTGAGGGTAGGAAATCAGGACCACCCTGCTATTCTGATTAGTTGCCTGGCCTAGGTTGAAGACAAAGGCCTACAGACAAAAAGCTGCAAGAGCAGACGTGGACCTCACCAGGAATGGAAGGTAGAGGAGGAAAGGGAACGAGGCAATGCTAATAACCTGGTCATTGGGATTAGCTGTCAACATGCACAGAGTAACCAGACTGCATACCTATAAATTACTCAGCGCTCTATGGTTTATCCCTCAAGATTGTTTGCATTGTGCTGAGGGTCATAGCAGCCTAAGGTTTTCAAGGGT